ATTAGCGTTTCGTGTTCGTTTTGATTTCGTGTGGACGGGGCCTAACTTCAATGAGGGATGTAACCAAACCCACTCTGAGGAGGGAGTTAACGATCCATTAGAAACCCCTAACGACCATTAACACCCCCCGGTAACCTCCATGGCCAATGCAGCAGGAGGGATCAGAGCCACCTTTGGTTCCCTCCTAATTCTTTGTTCCACCTCCAGTACATTAATCTCCTTGCCCCTCACCACTAGTTAGAACTGATGAAGCCTCTTGGATGGAACGTCTTCTAGAAAACTTCACGTCCAGTTGCTTATACTCCAAACTAGTATATAAAATAGTGTTTCCCTTAAATATTTTTTCATCTATCATCTTAACGGTGAGTGCAGGGATGCGTTCCATCTGCAAAGACCTACCATCTTTCCTCTGGCTCCCGGCTCTCCTCTGGCTCCCGGCTCCCCCATCAGACCTCGCTCCCCCTTCTGTCCCTGGTCTCCCTGAGAGAGCAGAAAATCTGCCGCAGCGTCTCTACCATCCACCGCTGGAATATTTACCTGGCACTCTGTGTTTTACCTCGTCTCCTGTCATCCCAGGGATTCCTCGCTCGCCCTGTGGAGACACCGATACGGATCAGTGCTGCCGGTTTTTATCAGCAACCGACAAAGGAAGGAGGGGAGAGTTCCTGACCTTCTCTCCTCTGAGGCCTCGGTGTCCTTTCAGGCCCTTTTCTCCCTAAAGGGCAGAGAATAAATCCAGCTGCTGAGAGAGACGCAGCTACGGGAAAAAAGGAGGGAAATGTGCTACTCACCCTGAATCCTGGAGTCCCTTTAATACCCTGGAACAACATAAGACAGATTCACTGCTGTGGGCCCCTGGACGGAATGGCTGAAGACTTTTAACCCTTTATAGGACAAGTTAACAGGTTGATCACCCCCCTTCGAAATTTAGATTTTCTAAGTATTTCACTGAGTGTCCTATAAAGGGTTAAAGGTGACATGAATCCAAGGTTTGTCGCCTCCACCATAAAATAAACCTGGAATTTGAAGAAAGACGGTGCCTCTGCTCTGAAGCGCCAGAGAAGTTCAGATTCTGGTGCTGCGACATTATTTACACAAGGAAATTCCTAATCCCGTGAAAATGTTTGAAGTTGCTCAGATTGTCTTCAAATAAATGCTGGAGGAAAAACATGGAAAGTTCCCAGGAGTTTCTGGCCGTCCTAAATTAGAGACGTCCGGTCAGCAAGGAATGATCAATGGATCATTGTCTTTACCTAAAACTATTATGTTCGAGGTGATTGAATGAATTCGATACCGATACTGCCCTAAAAATAGTGGTATGGGTATCGGCGAGTACCAACAAATAGGACACAGATACCATTTTGAGAACCATAAGTTTATTCAACTATTGTCACCCATTCCTGGTAGGCAATAAAAAGTTCTACTGGATTCACTTTGTGATTTTTTCCTGCTTCACAAAGGTAGGCAGCAGCTTGACAAACCATGATGGCAATTATTTTATCGGCCGATACTGCACAGCCAGGTATCGGTATCGGTATCGGGGCCAAAAAATGGCATCGGCGCAACACTAGTAATACACATTACAAAGCGTTTCCTCTGCCCGTGTCCTCACTAAGACTAAGAAAGTAGAGCACATCACCCCAGTTCTAAAGAGAATAGACTTTAAAATACTTCTGTTAGTCTATAAATCTCTGAATGGCTTAGCACCTAAATACATCACAGACTTGCTATCAGGTTATCAACCCTCCAGACCACTCA